GGGAGAGAGATAGCGACACTAATATAGCGTTCCTAAATGCCAAAGGAAGGTTATTTTTATTTCGGTGGTGAGATTGCGCGTCTTACTTCTCTCAAGAAGTTTTTGCGAGAGAAGTTGCTTAATCCTTGCTGAATTCTAAGATTGGCGAGAAGGTAAGATAATGGAGGTGTTTTTTGATTGTTATATTAGGGGAATGAAGGAAACTTTTGCCCCCGAAAAATTGTTTTTTTTATGCTAAAAATGACTAAATTCAATCCCTTTGGTTGTTTTGGGAAACAGGGTAACCAAACGGAACACCCGTCCCGCAGAAAAAGATATCAATGGAATTTATTGATTGGCTAACCTTGCGTTAAAATAGCATAGGCCTTTCAAAAATTGCTTTTTTGCTCAGAAGCATCAAAACAAGGAATCCGTAGACAATCGAACTGAAGTTCTTGTTATGGAAATCTGCACAATTTCGAGTGAATTGTCAGGCTTTTGTTTAAAGTGCAATGAAGCGTAATAACTCGTGCCAAATAGTTCGAAGCTGCTGCCTGGTTTGAGTGGTTTGTTCGTCGCCAGTTCCGAGTCTCCTGCTTACCCGAATATCAGGATGTGCAATTAGTAATCTTGTGAAGTGAAAATGGAGTTATACCGGATTTACGGAAGAAAGCAGGAGTCGAACACTGTTGAGGGAGTAGATCACTAGGCAATAAAACAATCTCAATGAGTAGATTGCTGAAGGTGTTGAGAGAGAAGTTGCTGAGATGAGTGGTGACTTGAACCTGCAAAGTGTCTCGCTGAGAATCCCAGAAAAAAGTCCATATGTCGTTGTAACGCTATACTAAATGTACGTTTGTCCACTATGATAAAGTCGTGGGTGTGTTTATTGTTGAACTGTTTTTTAAGTTTTTTGTATGAATCCTGTTTGTCCATTTTGGACCAGGTGTTAGCGGCAGATATCGGAATGACGTCTGTGATGTGATTCTACGTCGGTGTGTGATAGTAGTATATCAACCTGGGTAATTCATTGCAGTCTCTGCTGACATCACAGTGGAGTATATAGGTGCTCGCACAACTCGTGATATCAATCTACCAAATTACCAGGGATAACTAATGAGTAGTTCTGAGCAGTATATGCAGTCGAAGCTTGTGCTGGCTAAGAGGATACTGCTTGATCGTAGTAACAGGTGAGCAAGTTCTCAGGCAGGACAGCTCTATCGGAATAAACGGAGCAGTACAACCGTGCAAATTAAGTAACGATAATTTTAATATGATATGGTTATGTTCGTATGGGCATAATTCAAGAGCGTCGTCTTCTTACGACAAAATTCCTTAAGTTGCTAATAGTGTGAAGATGTCATGTCTGCAAAGGGATGTACGTTAGTGAAGTGTGGCTGAAATCTTACTCGAGTCTGCAATGTGGATACTATTTGATGAGTAAGAAGCTTACGAACGAGTAGATAGAGAAAGTTGAATCGATGGAATGATTTATAGACTTAACCCGCTTGGCGAAATATATGGAAGGAAGGTCATATGATGAGCGTAGTATATGTAGTTGTGTCGAAGCGATGATTTATCCGTTTGTGGTTGACAGAGAGAGTCATGAGACGTGCAAATCAAACAGCTATCTCCAGCTTCGTGCTCTGCTGTGCGGTGCGCGTAAACTGCGGTGGATTAGAGGTGATGAAATATAGCTTCCTTTTCCAGGATTGGTGTGTCTTCGATAATGCGAGAATGTGGAACCCGAGAGCAATGGTCATACGTTATCATAACTCGCTAGATATGCTTGTTTATAAAAGGAGGTGATTGGAAACTGTCATTGATGTAATCTCGCGTCGAGTCTTTATCAGTCTATCATATTGGGTTTGGTCATCTTTAGGGATTATACACGCTCCAGAACAACCTCAGGTGTGTTGGCACTGACACTGATCTACTTGTTGAATTCTTGGTTGTGGTATCTGCAAAGCAGTTTCTCGAGCAAAGTTGTTCTTCTTTGTTGATCATTTTTTTTCAGGTATACCTCTTGTTTCCAGAAGCTTTCTAGTTTGCTGTGAACAATTGATAATGGTGACGTGTCAAACACGTGGCTTTTTCACATTTTCCATCTTGCTACTGTACTTGCACCTGCCAAGAATCCACACGCTAGTTGGCGTGTTTTTGTAGACTGGTGACCATTCGAGATGTGATTTTTAGGTTATCGCGAACAACGGATTTCCAGGTAAACACGACTGCTCCAAGCAGTAAGTCATAGTATCTCACTGGCTCATTGAGAGTATGGGGTTGCGAGATTGATTTGACTTGGCATCGAGAATACTTCGTCGAGATGGGACTTTGTTGAGGTAATCTGTTCTTGTTTATCGAAGTACCAAAGAGCACTTCCAATTTCTAACTCGAACGGTTCGCTGTATGAAAGGAAATGCGTTATTTGTCGGACCTTCTTTCGCTTCCTTGAACGCATCGACACTGACTCAGCTGAACTGTAGGACTTCTGATTTGTTGCTGTTTTAATCTTAAGATCTTTTGCTTAAGTTTTGTTGTTATAAATTTAACTGTGCTCCTGGGTCCAATAACGCGTCGACATTATGTTGCAGCACCTTGGATAGGTTTTCTGGAGACAGAGTGAGTCGAAGTAAAATGTTGGAGATTTTGGGTCTTTCTGGACAAGCTAATTTAGTGCGTTGGGATGCGGGAGTGCTCCCGAGTTTTGTACTTGGGGAGTTGGCTCCGAAACTGCTGGTTTCTGCGGTTGCTCAAGTATAACCAGTCTTTGTGAGTAAAGTGTTTGTGGTGGCCTGGTCGCATGTCTACATTTTGATGATCGACAATAACCTTGAAATGCCCTACTTCAACAGTTTACAAACAATTTCTTTTCCATAAGGTAGTTTTCTTCTGTTATCTGGCGATAAGTTTAACATAATCTCGCGAGTTTGAAAGGAAGATGATTTCTCCATTCACCACAAATGCAGTTGGACGATTGTATTCATTAGGATAGCTTTTTTATTTTGCGCTCTATCTTTTGATAGGAATGTCTTCAAATTTTGTAGATTTGGGTCTGTTTTGTGTAGTAAATCTCAATGAACGTGACATCTTCTGCGAAATGGATAACCTTTAGTGAAATAGCAGTTACGTTGGCATATTTTTTGGTGTACGATTCTTGTTTTCTACCTTGCCAATACGGTGTCGTTGCCGCATAGTCGAGCTTCTTCTAGCTAAATGATATTATTATGGAGTCCCAGTAAATCTACGGCTGATTAGATTCAAGAGATATTCCAAGGCTGATAATGTTTGTCTGAATGTGCCGAGTTCAATTTTCTCATGCATGACCTTGTTGTCTTTGCTTATGTGGGAAACTTCAAGAGTTTCTTCGCTGTGTGTCTCAATTATCATTATCTGGTTGTCATATTGTGGCTTTAGAAGATTCCAAGCATTTAGTAATTTTCATTGCTGATTGTGAATCCTTCGATTACTTTTAGTGCTTCTCCTTTCAATACTCCGATGAGGTCACTGATGTTTTTGAACATTGGGTATACTTTCATCGTTGTGAATTGTGGTTTTCAAACTGTTTTTGAAGAACAACCATTTTCATAATCACGCTGAATTCTGGAAGTTTTTATTTCTGGTAGCTTGGAGCATTCCTGATTGGCGGATTAACTTGAGGATTATTTGATTTTGAAAGATTTGGTTGATTGTCAGTAGGAGGTTTTGGCCCGTTGCCAAATCGATGATGGTGTAAAGCT